TGCATTTTTAACCCTCAATCTGTTGAGCACCACTGAAGTCCACTATATGGAGAAAAATCCTGGAATGTTTTCCTCAAAAACCTTAATTTCATTGCGACTGAAGAAAGAAAGACACGAACATCTTGGATGTCATGGGGGTGAGTAAATTATCAAGAAATTTTTATTCTGGAATTGAGCTAATCCTTTAAATTTATTTATGGGCCAGTCGTGGCCTAATGGTTACGGAGTCGAACATGTAACCCGAATGTTGCGGGTTCAAGTCTCAGGTCCGGCAGGAATTGTCGGTGGGGGGAGTGAATAACCAGCGCTCTCTTCCACCCTCAATACCACGATTGAGGTGAGACCCTTGAGCAAGGCACCGAACCCCCAACTGCTCCCCGGGCACCACAGCAATATGGCTGCCCACTGCTCCGGGTGTGTGTTTACGGTGTGTGTGTGTGTTCACTACTGTGTGTGCACTTGGATGGGTTAAATGCAGAGCACAAATTCCGAGTATGGGTCACCATACTTGGCCACACGTCACTTCACTTTTTTTAAATGTCTGAAACCTAAAATAAACATTATGTGTTGAAAACACTGTGTAGCTGTGATTACATGACAAGGGCAGAGTCAGTGCATCCGTTTCTGGCTCAGCGCCAGCCAAAGCGCGAAAGCACAGTGTGAATTTGGTAGTTATGTGACATCACTGAACATTCTGAATCCAAAATGTGAGACCGTCCTCCCAGGGGCACCAGGGCTCGCAAAATCGCTAGCCCGACGTCCTGGGGCTATTGTGTTTTCCAGTCGGGCTATCAAAATGTAACACCACTCTGCCCGACGGGCTATCTTAAATGCAGATCTCCCGCGGGTCCTTAAAAACTCCTAAAGTGAGTTGTATCAAACTTAAAGGGTTAGTTCAGCCAAAAATGAAAAAAGAAGTTAATGTGCCTTCTAAAAATCTAAACAATTAAGACAGTGTTATTTATACGTTTTAAATTGACAATTTATATGCTTGATTTATCCCTTTTCATAAAAATGGTCTAAAGGCTGAAATGCTGTTGTTTACGATTTTTGTTTTTGTGAAAAGCTGTATCTGAACTGTAAATCGTGTAATTTTATGGCTCAGTACTGTATGTTAAATAATAGAAAAAAGATCTGCACACTGTTATTCTCCCTTTATTCAAAAAAGTTAAAAATAGCAACGTTTCAGTCAAAGACCTTCGTCAGGCAAACACGCTGCCCGAAGGGCTACCAGGGATTTTGAAATTTTGCGAGCCCTGGGCACAGAAATGACGATCCCACATGTGGGACCATACTGCTCTAGGCCTATATAAAAGCATCCAAAAAGCAGCATGTCATGGGACCTTTAATAAGCATGAGATGTTTCACATTTATCAGAGAACTAAACCACAATTACTACATGCCGTCTCAGATCCAAGTGAGAACTTGCTCTGTCTTATTTCAAAATGAGCAAAGTGTGAAAACACAAGTACGTGCTGGTCTGCACAAAGTCAATGAATCACAAGAGTCTACTCAAAAACCAATGGATCTTGAGGCTGGTTCTGGCTTGTTGAGATCCAAAAGAGTGGGGTTACACTGGGTGGAGCGCTGTGAGAGGACAAAACTCTTGATGTCAATATATTTTTTGACTATGGCTAACATATCGCTGATTATACTTAATATGATATATAAGATCCTATTTTTACTGTACATGAGATCTGATTGTATAGTGTCTGATGGTATAATCCCATCAGATTCAAATCTCCATGATGTAATGCTCTTAATACATCCCATGGAAAACACTGAATCCTACTAAATCCAGTCTTTCTTGAGATTATAAAGAGTTCACCCCAGATCCAGAAAACTGGACTGTATGCAAACAGTCCTACAGCATATTAGCTGTCTTTATGTACTCATCTTAAAATGTATTACTATGTACATAGACTCTACATAATAAAGGTTTCATAAGTAGGTTTTCACAGCAAAGCCATAGAAGAACCATTTTTGGCTCTCCAAAGAACCTTTCAGTGATCAGTATTTATTAAAAAAAAAACTTTTTTTCTTAGTGTGAAGAACATTTCAATTATCTAAAGAACCCTTTTCCACGATAAAGAACTGTAAAGGTCACAAGAATGTTAAAAGTTCTTCATGGAACCATCAAAGCCAATAAAGAACCTTTATTTTTAAGAGCAATATAGTGCTGTTACACTGATTTAATGTAACATAATTGCATCTGCAATTAGTTATAATATTGTACTTAATACAGGAAATATGCCTCTTAATTTGAACACCAGTGTAAATAATACAATTATAACAGAATTCACACATTAACATTTGAGAGAGTAAATTATGGACATTTTGTACATATCAAGTACAATGCTTTTCCTTTTATGTACATAGTACGTGTACAGTAAGAAAGCATTAGGAATATGCTTCAACACTGGGATTTATTAATGATGAAAATGGTGTCCACTGACAGGAGTAAGCATTTTCCTGAAATACGTACTATGTTTGAGCTTTTAACGGTGATAAACTCAAAACAGGGACTTCAGTGGATTTAGGTCATGGATCATGGTCTACTAAGGAACAGGTTGGTTCAGAATAGGGCAGGGCAATAAAACTATAATGATATCGCGATATAATTTTCCTCGATAAAACGATAACAAGAGTTAGATAAATGTTCAATATAATGTGCCAAAAGTGGAATGAAACGGCACTAATCAGACCATTTATCTGCTCGGCTCAAAGTTCAAACGACAGCACATATTTATTACAGTACTTTTTGTGATTAAGCTATAGCATTTGTGCATTTATACTAAATGTATTATTTAGACTACTGCTTTTCATACAAATACCTAGAAACCATATAAGTTACATTTTTACCATGGTAACCATATGTGTGGTTTTAACTGTGGTTATCATGATCTAAATGTATGGTAAGACAAACTCAAACAGTCAGAATAATTAAATTTCACCATATAAAAATGAGGTTGTTAAAAATTTTTTTTTTTTACAGATGTTACTGTTTTTGATAATGAACATAAATTTGCATCTGCATCCTAACTCAAGCTGCTACTACTGTCAGCTCAAGCTACTGTCAAATGTGCATTTCTAAGAGACACATTTTTTAAAAAATTATTATTGTTGCAGGCAGCAATGCAAACTGTGCTGACGATGCACGTGAGCATGCAGAAACTAAAAAGTTATTTTTTCTATTATATTTATTTTGTTAAGGAAACATGACTGGAAAAGTGTAAAGAATTCAAAAATGTGAAGTGTTTGTCATGTTCTGACCATAAAGTGCATTTTAAAACCACAATTAAGGATCTGGTTTCTACAACTTTCACTTAGGAGCAAAATCTGCCTTTAAACTTGAAAGAAATAAAGATTTGGAATTTATCGTGATAATTATCGATACCAACTGATATAAAAAATAAAAAAAAATGAAAAAAAAAAAGTATAGTGATAATTGTTTTGGCCATATCGGCCAGCCCTAGATCAGAGGCTAATCTACTGGATTGGTTCAGAAAGTTTTTTATAATCTACTGGATTGGTTTCAGAAAGAGTTTGCACAGAACTGTGATAGTTTACTACAATCTGGCTGTTTTTACATGGATTTAAATTGTTTATAGTGGTTTGATACAAACATTTTGCTACACATAGCAGCACATTTTGGTGATCAAATCAGTCGAAGCAGCTTTACTATGCTATTTAATCAGTGTCACCAATACCAAACTCTGTAAGGAAAGATTGTGCAAGTACATCTGGCAAAGCCCGTCCCGCTTCACATCTGGATAATATTACAAACAGAGGAGACGTGAAGCCCAGCACCCCAGGAGATAAAAATACTTGACGTGAACTTCTCTTTTTTTATTTTGAAGGAGATTTGCAGGTAACTGCTGGACGTTTATAACTGGATGAATCCGAACGCTTGGAGAAATCTGGCTAAATATCCTGCACAGGAACTGGATGCCAGATGCCAAAAACAAGACGCACAGCTCGTCAACAGATGTGCTGCATGTGTAAACCCGGTTTGAGATGCTGTTCAGATATTATCAGGCATCTTGAAATGTTTAAACTTGACTTTCGGACTTAAAAACAACACTCATTGTGGTGGCACGATTTGCAGCAACAATCAATGCCATGCGCACTTCAGCATTCCCACACCTTTTTAAACCAATTTCCATTTGTGATTAGTGGATAGGGATTAACCCCTGCAAGAAACTTCAGTTTAAGCTGGTATCTGATTATTAGCTAGCTCAAGCTGGTCATTAGCCGGCTGACCAGCTTCAAAGACCATCTTAACCTGGTGTGGCCAGCTGGTAGCTAGTTTGTTGCAGCTAATGACCAGTTAACAACCAGTGTGGACCAGCTAAAAACCTGCTGCCATGTTCCAAACCACAGCATGCAGCTTACACTGGATTTCCCATCTAAAAAAAAGCTGGTCTTACAGAGATTTTAAGCACTTTTCAGTTTGAAAGAACACCAGCATGTGAGGCCAGCCTATACCAGTCGAAACCAACTTTGGCTGTTGTGCAGTGAATTTGTAATTGTAATGACTTTTCCAGGCCTAGAAACCAGTGTTAAAACTCACTGATATTTCCAAGGCTTTCCCTGGTGCTTACAAACAGCGCAAACGCGTCCTGTGTGAACGCAACGCACCCTCGGCAAGGCCAGGAGCACAACAAAGTCGCTCCAGCCATTTCACAGACTGCAGACACACCAGTGGTGTGAAATGGCCTTGGGTCTGGAACGGCATGATATGATTTAGAAAGAACTGTGAAACTTCTGCTCTATTTTGCGAGCGGACTCGCAGCTGCAGTCCAGACGCTCTGAGCTTCAGCCAGGAGCAGCGATACAAAGTTGAAGAGCCGCGCAGCGCCAGTGTAACAGTTCATCAGATAAACGGAGGCTGAATGAGGTTTGCTGGATGATTAGCTTTTGTGGCAGCACACCGCGTCTCCAAAGTGAACGACAGACAACAAAAGCGTTTCTTACAGTAATTAGACGTCCAGTCTTACCTGCAATCGCTCGGACGCAGGCTGCCACATTTTAGTAGATGATACGCTCGATTGTCAGGCTGGAAACAGGGATAGTCCAGCTATAACATCTGCTCGCTGACGGCGCGTTCTCGCTCCTTCTGTCTCCTCAAGCAATCCCGAGGGAAAAAATACAGACACCGTGAATTCCAAGGGTGCGCAAGAACGAAACTCCGCCTGCGAAAACACGCACAGGCTTTTTCTTTCTTTCTCTGTCCCTCTGTGTCCTCCGCCCCCTCTCTCGACTGCTGTTGTTCCCAGACTGACCTGAAGAGGGCGCCACTTACTGGAGCGCTGCAGATGTTAACTGCCTTTCAGTCCACCACACTTGTCACAAGGGGCGTTTCTAGCCTTTTTAATCAGTACTGAGGTAGCCTACAGTCCCCCTCCCATCAAAAAAGTATGACCATATTTTGAGACGTTTTTTTATATAAATGACCAGTGTTGAGGGTAACGCATTACAAGTAACGCGAGTTACGTAATCAGATTACTTTGTTCAAGTAACTAGTAAAGTATCGCATTACTTTTTAATTTACAAGAGAATATCTGAGTTACTTTTTTTTTCAATTTATTGATTGACAGCTCTCCTGTCCCCATGTTGAGAGAAATCAGAAGATGTTACTGTAGTTCTAAAATAAATATGAATATGCATTAATTCATCTCACTCAAAAAAAAAAAACACACACAGATTCAGTATTCCTCACAATGAATAAAAATAATGCAACTCGGAATATGACGCGGACCTGCAATAATTAAATGTTAAACAACACAAATATCCTTTATGTATTTAATCCCATTCTATTAACCAATGTCTTTGCTTCTGACCTTCGATGATCCAGTTCAACCATAATAATAAGCAAAAATTACTCTAGACAAACATTTGTGTGTCTTTTTTATT